TCGGCCAAAGCGAGTATGCCGTTAACATAATTGACTGCATACATGCTTTTCACTAATGGTGCTCGAGAAGATGCAGCCCTTAACCTTAACCCTACACGGAGCATCCGTGACGTGAGAGTGTATTCTGGGAACTACAGGTAGGGACATAAGAGTGTGCACAAACCTGCAAGATTTCACTGGAACACAGTGCTTCCAGGCACCATGTATAGGATCTACAACATGTGTAATGCCCTATGATTTGGGGAGTCAGGTTGGCGTAGCGGTACTTTCCTTGCCTTCCACCGCTGTGATCCGGGTTCGAATCCCGGCCGGGCCAATATGTGGATTGGGTTTTCAGTCCCTGCCTGATTCCGTGGGTTTTCCCCAGAATATTCTTCTGGGCTTTCCCTCCCACCTGTAAAACTGTAATGTCTTCTCATTCACTTCTCTCTACAGGTTTCTTCAGGCTTTCAAGCTTACAGAGTCTATTTGGGGAATCCTTGGTTTCAGTACCAGAAGTAATAAATAAATAAAAATATTTTGTGTCCTGACTAGGCTCATCCAGTCAATGGCAATGAATGAGTTCTATGAAATCAAAGAAAGCATCCTACCTTACAATGTATTGAAAATATTACGAATTGATGACTACAATCAAATGAAAGAAGAAAAAAAACTTGACCTCAACTTCCATTAATTAATTGATCACGCAGCAGACAACAATTCCAAGGTAAATTCTAACAGTAACAGGGAGTATGTGACTAGACTAGTCAGTGTTGTGTACCAAGATGTTCACATGAAAAGTGAAAGTGAACTGGCGTGGCTTGCATGCTCTATTGTAGGGCCAACTTATTCCCATGCTGTGCTCCATCAAAACAAAAATTAAAACTGCATGAGATTTGAAGATTTTGCTGGACAAAATTCCTAAAAGAAACTTCTTATTTCATGTGCTTAACACTAACCAGGTACTGAATTCATTAAGGTGAGCAGAACAACTTGTTGGATTGTGAAAAGATTTTTTTTTAGCTGTTGGAATGGTATCACTAGGCTATATACACTTCAATAGCTGTTAGAAATTGCTAGATTCAGCAGAGTCACTTGAAGAAAAAAAAATGGGGTGAGTGATTTCAGGAAATTATAGAGCCTGGCATTTCTGTATGTTATTTGGGACGCGAGGACAAGATCTTTAGCTGTTGGAGTTGGACAATGTTAGGTTCAGCAGACTTCAAGGCCAATAACATTTCACTTGAATTTCAGAGCAAAGCAAATGAGGCATACTTTACATACATGTACACACAGAATCATTCACTTAATTCAAACACAAACCAGCAACATCCACGCCAATAAAAATCTGGGGACAAAATTGAAAAGGGCTCATGCTTGTTTAATTATGCATACATTGTCCATTATGGCTTCGTTGTCGCCTGCAGGGATCAATGGATAGGACGTTACTAACATATGGGGATTACCATTGCAATTGTTTTAGTACCTTCACCCCATTTAATTAAAGGGGTTGTACATCATTGGCTTTTGCTGTAATTTTCAGAAATGAACTATTTGTGGGGTTAGTATAAAAGATCAAATATTGTTACACTGACATGTTTGAAGTTTTGTGTTCGAAAATGCTGAAAAAAACATGAAAAACAAAAATGTTCAAGCAGTCTGGTTCCCTGACTCCACTTAAGATGAAATGGATAAAAAAAATGCCGGAAAAGTGTAAGGTAAGGGAAGCAGTCTGGCCTGCACCCGTTCATGAACATGGAACCAGTAGCAAACAAAATTTGGACTGAAAAAAAAAATGGTAAATTTGGAGCAGTATTTGAAAACTAGTTAGGTTTTTCCAACGGTGGTCGGCCGACCACCATTGGAAATGTAGACAAAAGTACCATTTTTCCTGAAAATGACTTCCTACTTCATACCAGGTTCCCTAATTTTACATGATGCTTTAGACTGTCATTTACCAACATCCTAGTAAGGTATTTCGTAACAACTTGGTAGTTTTATTTTTCGATGTTTGCAAATGTTGTATTTTCCCTTTAAGCATTACAGACCGCTATGAGCATGCCAGACGCAGACAGTGCGAGAATGGTAATGGGTATTTTAAATCAAGAAAGGTAAAGGGCCAGACATTTTGACAATTAGCAGTATATTTCTCAAAGGCAAAATGAGAAATATTATTTTAGTTAATAATATTTTGGTTTGGATAATAGTTTTAGTTTTGATGGCCCTGCGAAGTGCCGCACTTGCTTGGGAGATTTGTTTGTCAATTTGTTTTTAGGAAAAGATCAGCTACTGAATACATGTTCTGTTTGAAATACACGGTCCCTAAAATATACATAAATGAAAAAAATTAATAATAAATACCAAATTCAGGCTCTGTGCTATTTGAAAAGCTTTGGAAAACAATCCGATTTTATTCGGAACACGGCGTAAATAGCAACCAATGCAATCCTAGGTTGTTGCTTCTCATCGTATCTATAGTTTTATCTTTACTGTTACTGTACATGTATGTCATGGCTCCCACTAACGTTAGTAATGGGGCAGATATATCAACTACACATGTACATCTTGTCAAACATGACTGTATTATTTTATTCACTAATCAGTGATATCAACTCATGATCATCTCATTGCAATAAACCAAACAAGAGACAATAAGCACTTGTCATCATTTAATTTAGCCATCTACAGATGGGTGCAACTGCAATATTTGTCTTTTCTTCAGATTTTTAATTTTTAGCCAACTGACCGACCCTACTTCAGATGCAAAAAATACATATTTGTAGCAATAAAAAGGTGTGCCCTAAAGAACATACAGGTGATTTTTTTTTTTGAGGTAGTGGAATGGTTGATATTTAACAGATCCTTAAGAAGGAATTTGAGCCAATGTTCTTCACAGAGTCTCTCAAATCATGCATGTAAAGTCGCTTTCTACAAAAGTGTGGCAATCGACAGACAATAAAACCTACAACTTATGATTCAAATAACATCAGGGACACTTTGCATCATCTCCTCATGAAGAGACCGCTCACATTTTATTTTCCTCGAATATTTGAATCGAAAACAAAAATACTATTCACTATTAGGTGGATGATCGGATATTTGCATATGCTGTTCATTTAATATTAGGCACCGCCTTACAAGTCCTCATAAGTGAAAATGCAATGGCTAGTTCCAATACTGCCTCAATGGCTCCCTAAAGATACAGAGTCAGAGAACAGCGATTATGTTGTAGTCCTGATGACCTCTGATGCATTGCAACTAACACAACTTCACTAGCTTGGAGGATTAGGACAGGTCTCAAGACTTACATGGAGAGGGGGAAAGTCACCCGCCATTTTCAGCATGTACCAACGTAGACAGATGTACGTGTGTATTCCTGTTCTTTAACTGCTTATGGAGACTATAATTTCCATGGTCTAGAATGGTCACAGTTCAAGGTTTCCAAAAGCAGCACTAGGTACAGTACAAGGCACAGGACATGGCATAACGTGTCAAATGCATAGGGCGTAAGCCATAACAGAAACATTTCACATTTTATAAGAAAGCTCACTTCTTGGAGTGAAAGTCAAAACTTCTATCACGTTTGACACCCTCATAAAGGTTTTTTTTAAAACACCCAAGAATGCCATACCGGTACATCCTCAGCTTCGCTTCAAGTGCCGCCAGTCTCTCTGATGAAAATAAATGCTATGTCGCACATTTCACAACTTTTCACTCATTATGAAAAAGGCAATATATATGTACATGTACCTGCTATTGGGTTTGCGAATGCACTATTTTAATTACTAGATCTCAAGATCTAATCCAAGATTTTAAGATCTAATGCAAATTGCAATGACTGTACATTTGCTGATTACAAATGTGCGTACATGTATCAGCTGTACTTGTACGTATGTACAATGTACGTAATTCCCTTTTTCACATGTACTTTTTTGCACATCCCCCTAGCTACTCTAGATGTTTCTAACATTAGAAGTCAGGCGTCAAGAAATGGGTGATGTGAATACCATGACACTGTCTATTGCAGGTGAAGGCACAACTTAAGAATTGTTAGGCCACTCCAAATCTATTGTGGGGATTATCGCCTTTGATAAGTCCCTGTTTGGAGCACCCCAAGCAATGCAAAGCTCAGTACAGTGCACTCGTGGCCAGTGTAACATCATTGGCAACTGGAAATGAGACTGCCTAGAGGAATCTTTTTGTCCTGCTGCTTCTGAATCCACGTAAATCCAGGCAGGAACATAAAAGCCATCAAGTTAATAGACAGGGAAAACTGTGTCACATAAAAAAGGCATGGGTGCCAGTATTTCTCTAGAATCTTGCAGCTAAAAATAGTAACCAGGTGGAAATTAAAGGCAGCAATCTTTTGACAAGCTTTTCCAGTGTACAAAGAGTCCCCACGTTTGTCCTTGTTTTTATACCAAGCATAAATACTTTGCGTTTAATGTTTACTTAGTATCACAAGATACAGTACAATCCAAACTGTCAAACTGCATGTAGATGTACATGTACACATAATACAATATTCTTTATGAGACCCCCTACAATAATTCTATTTGATTAGGTACTTGTACTTTGTAACCAAACTTGAAAGTAACATGCAATTGTATTATAAATATCCAAATTAATTCAATTTGAATATGGGACAAACTCCACTCAAAACCAGGTCATGCCTCGGGAAAAAAAGATACGGACCCTGTGAACGAGACAGCCATAGTGCACAAACAAGTTTACAGTCGCAGCAAAAACATGTGCTCTGCTTTGGACTTGGTCATGTGTGGTCACATGGCCAAGTAAGACTGTATTCACGTAGCATGCATGCTCTTATCTTTGGCCCCCGCGCATTCATGTACACAACAACATGACTTGAAAACACTGGGCCAAATCTGACGCACGTACTCCTCACAGTCACACACTCAGCACAATACACCCCCCTATGCCGAGGCATGCCGTCTGCATGCAAGATGCCCTGGACAGTAGCCGTGGTACGTACTACTGTGCACAATCACGCTCTCGTTTACCTTCAGCTGTAGGTCACGGTTGTAGTTTTCCTGAATAACTGAGTGTATCTGGGCATTCCCCATGTCTCTCTACTCCATCCGACCCCGGCGGACTCTCCACAACTGCCTGACGGTCCTGGCGCTGTCTCCCCGACAATTAGCCCCATCCAAAATCCACAAGAAAGGGAGTGATCAGCCCCTCATTGTGTCCGGGGATAAACCCATGGCGGTCCCAGTGTTGTGAGAAACGTGCTGGTTATCTTTACACTTCAGTCATATAATGCATGCATGCGACGAGACATACCCCTTGCACTCACTCACTACATACACACTTCCAGACTTGGCAAGCCGGAGCCGCCAGACCTGATGTCTATGTCATGGTCTTGTAGTAATATCCCACAGTCAATGCGCCACAGCGCACCACTAGTGTCTTCAAATACCACATTCAGTGCACACAAAGAACGGGGCTGACCCCTCATGTAAATGCAGCTGACCTTTAAGGGCAAGGCCAGCGCACAGAAATACTAGGGCCTCAGATTGCTCGGGTGATTCCACGTGGTGGGAACAGGGGTGGCAACAAGCAGGTGTGGGAGGGAACAGGAGGGGGAGACTTAATTGCCACTGGCTTATTCAACTTGGTTCAGTTTTGTGCAGGCACTCGCATAGTACTTGACATGACATTTTTTTGTATACAAACTTGCATGCAGTACACCAAAAGAACAAAAACAGACGGTTAAAAAGTTATCACGATTTAAGTGCAATAAAAAAATTCTAGTGGATGATGAAGTGAATAAATACGGAAAGTAAACAATGTTAAAATGACTCCATTCAGATACTATGAACACGTTTTTATTTCAAATGAATACTTTAAAATTGTTCATCAGCAAACCGAAAACAAAACTGAGTACCAAGCTATTCTAAAATCGATTTTTTTTTTTAAGGGTTTGGTGGGAATAATTTTCCAAGAAAGAAGGCATTGAATATTTCAACTTCACTGCATTCTTTTGATGTGAAGGTGGAAAAAAGTTTCCAACTTCAAATGCTTTCTCCCAATCAGTTCATACCAAGGAAAGTCTAACAAAAAGGATTGACTGGTACAATATCTGCCCTTTCAAATTTTTTCACCGATTAAAATACCAAACAACCCAAATTATAAATGGGACTCATTCTTTGCTTCTAGCCAAAGGTAGATTTGTTTGTTGCAATACTCATATTCGTACTCAAACTGGAGTACATTTATTTCATATTCTTACTCCTATTCACGAGAAAGTACTCGTACTCCTACTCGTAATAATACTTGCAAGGAAGTACCTTCATACTCGTAGTCGTAAAGTACTATACTCGTACTCGTATGCATAATGTCCAATATGCACAGTCAAATATGAGGGTACATGTACTTTTAAGTCGACCAGACAAATATGTTACAATTATTCGTCATAATGGGTAATTAAAAAGTATTGCTGGTACAGACCCCGGTATGTATACCACTTCAATATGAAGAATTTTATGAACAGGACGGGAAAAAAAGTAGAAATTGGCTGTTTCACGACAAAACACTGAAAAGAAGCAAATACTTTGACATCGCGTACAAAGGCAAGAGTCATATATCGCCACCATTCCGTTTTCTGAAACACAATACAAAGTGCACGATGAATTAGGTCGAACTAGATTTTTAATGGCACCATAATAAATGTAATTGGGAAGGATGATACCGGTATATAGAATAAATTGTTGCTGAGGCTTAAAAGTAGATCAATGACTGGCGTTCTGTAATTGTTTTACCTGTTTCAAGGCCGCTCGTTACCAAGAGGATGCAATTATTGAGAGATTACAAAAGGGAGTCATTACTGGGAAAATCTAACAATTACTTTTAAATGTCTTTGTACTTTTTTTTTTACATTTTAATACATTGAAATGTACAAATTTACATGTTCCATACTAGCTATTGTTGAATGCACGTGTTTTCAAATGATTTTATTTTTTTATTTAACAAAGGATAGTTGGCCAACAATTTGGAATTACATGAAACCGAGGGAACGTTATCAAATAAAACCCGCATGGCTTATTTCATTTTTTCGATTGAAATGAAAGTTGTTGACACTTTTTTTTTTTTTTAATAAATTGCATAGAGGATGCAAAGTTATCTAATCACCCTACTAACATACATGTAGATGCCTTTGTACTTGCGATAACAACCCCAAAAACCCAATTCCGAAATCTAATTAAGGCAAAATATGGAAAAAGAAAGTGTCCTTTTCTCAACATTTCTGACTGTATCATCTGATACTCTCACGTGTTCACACCAGTCAAGGTAATGTTTTATCAGTCAAACAAAGTCGATTTTAAACAAATTTTGACTTCAATTTTGATGAATTTCCGCAGGGTTTTGCTGAGACAGGTTAATTGTTTTTAAAAGCTTTATTGTATTGTTGTTGACTTGTTCCTTTAATTGGCAAAAAATGGTGTCCAGCACTTTTAACCTTTAACTTTCTATGTTCACAAGTTTCCTGAAGCAATTTTTGAGCCAATGTTTCAAAGAACATTGAAGTTACCTTGTATTTAAAAAAGAAATTGCATCACATGTAAGGTGTGACATTTTGAGTCATCTGCGACTTCCTTCGCGTTCATCAGGATAATTTGGTTTGTCAACAGGACTGAGATGACATGAAGAGTGTTTCCGAGCTCATTTCAGTGGGGAAAGAAATTTAATTCACAAGTTTTGGGCACTGAGTACTCAATCTGTATACATGTATGTTTTTGTTTTTTTAATATTCGGTATCTTCAAATATAGTTGATTCAATGATGAATTTTCACATCACTGAAAACAACACCTCAATCAATTTTTAATAAAAAGTATTGAAACTGCTGTCGTGTACATCAAATTCGCTTTTTTTTCTTTTTTTTTGACTAAGAGATTCACAACGTGACCGCGATTGAAATAATTGTACCGTGGCGTATTTGTTCCCCCCCCCCCTTTTTTTCCATGTGTGTAAAGCCCCTAGACAAACAAACGATAACTCAATAAACGACCCCGGGCCCCTGGGCTACGAGAAACCTTGACATTCTCTTCAGCTCCAACGGCAAAGCCATGAAATATTGCGCATTTTTATTTTCACCGAGGGATGCTGATTCTACTCGGTGCTAATTCCTGCAATTGATAAAAAAAAATTGCTCATTACTAAAATCACTGTGATGATCTTCATTCAGTTCCCAGGTCTACATTTAAGGGGCACATTCCTGAAGGGGTTATTCTTCAAATTTGGGCTCCACTTTTTTTCCATGATATTCCCTGTTATATCTGACATTTATAATTTAATAATTCTGATGCACTCCTTAACCCTAACTCCATTGCTAAAGGATGCAACCTCACTCCTACAAAATCTTCCAACTGCCTCAATGTAAATATAGCATACAACCTCAATCCTGCAAAATCCTCCTTTATTTCTTGATTGTGGCCCTTGGAGGGTGACCACTGCCTCAATCAGACTGCAAAATCCTCCAGCAATCACTGTCAATATGTTGAGGCAGCGCCAGTGACATCCTGGAGCAGTGCGGAGGATTTCAAGTATAACGTAGGCCTGAATTTATGCACGGCTGAGTAAAACAACACAAAGTCCGGCCTAACACCTTGACACAGACACAGTGCATCCTCCGAAATCAGCCACACACTTTTGCCATATATAGCCTCTATCCTGCAAAATCCTCCATTTTGCAAAGAGGATTTGGGAGGATTTGGGAAGGTTAGGGACAATGTTGTGGTCTAAAGATTTACAGGATTAAAAGCAGAACAGTTAAATGGACCATGACATGAAGTTTTACTTGGGAAAATATTTTGTGCAACTTTCTACTCCTTTTAAATGTACAAAAACTATTTGGCATCCCAATTTGGTTTTACTGGAAAATGCACTTCTTTAAACATTTTTGCTTTTCCTGACAAATGAGTGCGCTGTTGCTGTGATGTAATTTCAGGAAGACACTGTTCAGTTAGGGTTAGGCCCTATCTGTTCAAATTGTGAACCCAAAATTTGCTCATTTGAAACCATTTATAAGAAATTTTGTACTGAAACAACAACGAATCACCAAAGAAAAGAACATTTACGACAGCAAAATATCAAAAATTCTGGCAAATTTTGGTGCTGTAGCTGTAACATTGAGATTTCTGCCTGAAGTGTCATCACACTGTTACTCATGAATATTTATGCACATTTGCATCAGCATAAAAACAAAACAAAAAACACCAAAACTGCCCATAAAAATGGCAAAATGAAAATTGAAAATAAGGTTAAATGGGACACAAAGGTGCATTTACATGGACTGCAATAAACAAAAATTACATAAGGCCAAAAAAAAAATACTCGGTCTCTGGTCAGCACGCGCGTCGATTTAAATCATGTGCTTCAACCTTTTTTTTTCTCTTCAAATTAACACGGAAGCTACAACAGCTATTGCCGCGCCTCCTCAAATTTTTGTACCAAGGAGCACCAAGGAATGGGGAAATTGCACCAAGGCAAATGATAAAGGGCACCAAGGCAAATTATGGAGGACACCAATGTATAATGAGGACACAAAAAAGCAAAATAGTACCCACCTTGTCTGTACAATACAAGCTTTGAAAAGAAAAGAAAGCCGCCCCCCCCCAAAAAAAAACCTGCGTCACCGCATCAATTCCAGAACTTCGGTCTGACCAGAGACCGACTATTTTTTTTTTTGGCCTAACATGGGCCCTTTAAGGAAAAAGATGAAAACAAACTATTTTACAGTTTACAATGTTCTGGTGAATTACCGGTACATGTAGATTGAAAAATTAGTGAGTTCTCAAGTGTCAAATTAGGGATTGTTATTTGTGGAGTGATTTAAATTTCATTTCTTAGCTTTCAAATGTATGATTGTGTACTGTTGAAGAGACTTGACCAATTCTAAAACCTAAATCTCCAATTTCATGAGTTTCATCAGAGACATCTGCAAAGCACTGGAACTAAACGCAAAAACAGATTGCACCCGGAAAAGCTTCTGAACTGTTTGTTGCTTCGCACAAAGAATTGCAGAGTTTTTGTACTTAAAGCTCATGCAACTGACCTATCGCCGTTCGCGAGTTAGCCTCCCCCCTTGGACAATCCTATGGAGTTTTTGTACACTAAGTTTTGTTTGTCTCAGATTTTGCGCGTTCCACGTCCATTTGTATATCATGTAATTGGACAATATTTCACAAGCTGCGTTGACGCAATTTTAACACGATTCTACCACGATAGGTCAATTATGCCGTTGGATTGAGCAGGATTAGGGTTTTAATTAAATTAAGGGGTTTTGAATCATCACTACTACTCAACAAATTTTGGCAACAGTATTTTCACCAATAATGATCCTACTTTTTGTCCTTTAAACAGAACAGAAAAAGTACTGAAAAGGTACGTTTTTGAAAAAAAAAGGATATTTTTGAAACTTTATAAAAACAGGGTTTATTCCAGGTCATAAATTTTTAGCTGATTCACATCTGGTGTTAATACCCTTTCACGTGCACTTAGCCTAATTTGTGTATC